CGCGAATAGTATTCAAACGAAAACAAGCAGGAGTATTTATGTAGAAAATTTATTGGATCTTCAAGCACAAAATATACCTATCATATACATGGACGAGACAAACTTTAATTTGTTCATATCGCGGACTCAGGGTCGTTCAAAAAAAGGGACTCGCTGCACAACAGTGTCTGCAGGTTGCAGAGGGTCGAATATTCACCTAATAGGATGCATTGGAAACATGGGGCTAATTCATTCCGAACTACGTCGGGGCTCTTTCAAGAAGCCGGAAGCAAATGAATTTGTGAGGCAATGCCTAAGAAGAGCGCAAGGCCTTTACCAAACTGGAGTTGCATTAGTTATTGATAATGCTCCATGCCACTCTACTATTGAAGAGGTTTTTGCAGAAAACGAATTTGAACACCACACACTTTTACGACTAAGTCCGTACAGCCCTATGTTTAATCCTATTGAACAAGCGTGGTCTGCATTAAAAGCAGGAGTAAAAGCAGATATGGCTGTACAGCTAAATAACATCTTGGCTGGTGCTGACCGGGATCATCTGACTCAAACAGAATATCGAATGCAGAAATTAGAGAACACCGTTCATAATAATATGGACAAGATTACTGTTGCCAATTGCGCAATGTTTATTGCCCACATCCAACGATTTATCCCTTCTGCATTGAATATGCAAGATATAAATTTTTAAGAGTGTTATTTAAAACATAACGTTACCTACTTTCTTAAGTAATATAATTGTTATCTATTGTGTTTGTAAGTCAATAAAATGTTTTTGCCCATTTCATTTTATTTAATGCTGATATATAATTTTATTTCCATGTCAATTTAAAATTCATAAGTGCCAATATGATATTGACTAATGTCATTTTGATTTTGTTTAATGCCGATTTGCTTTTGATTAGTGCTAAATTTGTTGATTAATGCCAATATGATATTGTTTATTGCCAATTTGATATTGACTAATGCCATTTTAATTTTGATTATTGTCAATTTGATTTTGACTAATGCCAGTTTGAAATTGACATTGCCAATATGATTTTGACTAATGTTTTTGATTCTGATTAGTGCCAATTTGTGCTTGAAAAGATAGATATTGTTTATACAAGGCTAGGTACTGCTATCAATAGACTACAAATTGGTTCCAGAATACTAATACTGCTCGTAGAAAATTAAATATTGCTGGCAGAAAGCTAAATACTGCGAGACAATTTTACAAGCTCATTTATGGCGGTAGATTTTCAGTTTCTGTTGATGTAATTTTTTGATTTTGAGTCCCATAAACATGGGTACATTCTATATAGGTTTATAAATTTTTTCCAAAAATCTTTTTCGGCGAACGATGCCATTTTGATGGACGTTGGAAATAAACTAAAGCGATACTTTCGGTGTCGTATGTACGTCGCAATCCCATACACGTTGACTCTTGCAAGGCGACGGCGCCTGCCATGGTCTTGAATCCGTCGCCGTCGCATGAGTCCTGGCGCTTCCCTACACACTTCATGCGGCTCGATTCTTGGCGTCGCTGCATGCGACGCTGCAAGAGTCGTCGTGTATGGGCCGCTTAAAACAGTAGTAAATGTTGATGCTATATTCTATGATTGTGAAGCAGGTTCTACTAAAATGAAGCCTATGAAAGGCCAGCTTCGTTAATCTTGCTACGATGCTGCAGTATTAAACATAGCGGAAGACCTACGAAATAGAAAAAATTACCTGCCTAGACGGACAATAGAATGCGACGAGTTGTATCAAAAATAATTTAGGTAACTATACAGGGTGTCCAATTAGGGCGATATCGGACTATATCTCCTCACAGGGTATCGCTAGAAGAAAATGTTTATATATAAAGTTGTTTGGTGCTCGAAGGTGCATAATCTAAAAATATTTTTGTTTATACAGGGTGTTGCAAAAACTAATTAATAACAAGAAAGCAAAAAAAGACGGTTTACAAATACATTTTTATGGAAGGTAGCTTCGTCTGTCATCAATACATAATCAAAAAAGTCAGGTTGTTGATTTTTTTTTAACGCCCAAAGGCAAAAATTCCTCCGATTTACACAATCTTCATTAGATAACTCTTGAACAAGTAGTATATGGTAAGGATGGAATTTATGTTGTTTAATAATTTTGTTGGTAGTGGATCTCTTAATGCCTAACTGTTAAGAAATATGCAGATTCTCTACTACTTCTTGCATGACTAACATTTCATTTTCTGAACTTGCTGCTGTTTTCTCTCTTTGTAATTTTG